TGATTAATTTTTAGCGTTTTGAAATGTTGATTCTGACTATTTTTGCCAGGGTTCTCATTGCTTTGATGGGAGACAGAATTTTTGGAGGTCTTTGCTCAGCCATTTTCACTGATGTCACCTCTCTGAGCAATTTTTGACTCTGACTTTACATACAGTTGTAGCCTGGTTTGTGGTCTACAGGGGTAAGTGGCTGCAAGCCAGGTGCCATGGTGGAGAGCCCTTCACTATGGGGGTCATCCTTCTGTCACTCCTTTCCAGGCCAAAGGGACCTATTCCAATATCAGGACAGGGACTGAGCCGCCCTGAGTGGGAGTCTGGGCAGGGCTGTTCCTCAGGGCTGCCTTTTCTGTACCGGCCCCATTTAATGAGTCCTGTGCTCCAAAGACCCCCCCCCCCTTCTGTGGGTCTGGGCCCTGCTCTGTTTGAAGGTTCCAAGAGTCTGTGACTTTGGCATTAGCTGGCCTGGTTTTCTGTCCCTGCTTGGGAGACCTCCCAGCATAAGGTCTCGATTCTCCCTCTCATCTTCCCGTCCTGCACAGCTGGGTGGCAGAATAATGGCTTTCTTGAGCGCGTCTTGCACTTAATTCCCCAAGGATGCCAGTCTATTAGGAAAGACTAAATCTGTCACCAGTGGCCACGCAGCTGGTGCAGTCTCGTCTGCCCAGACTGGGAGGGACCCGGGAAGCACACACACAGCTGGCTCTGTCCAGGCCTCCTGGTTCTGTGGCCCCACTTGACCCCGGGGGAGCTCAGGAGTGAGGTGTGTGGTTCTGCCTCCCTGTCCTGTCTCCCCCACCGTTGTGATGTGGGCTCCACCTCCGAGACAGGCGAGTTCTGGAGGTCAGTCTGCATCCAGCAGGGGGACGTGGGGTCTGTACACAGTCTCTTGTGAGTAGTTTCCGTCAGGAGGGGCATGGGGAACGTCCCAGCATGGGAAAGGAGGCAGATTGAGACTCAGGTGCAGGAGACCCGGCTGGAGGAGGCAGCTCAGTTGAGAAGGTCTTGGAGGGAACTTCCTTGACAGTGACCACCCTGGGTGGGTGGAAGCCTGTTTACTTCTCAAGCCTAAACATGTGTTGTTTCTCTGGGCCTCAATCTTCCCTTCTCCAAAATGGGGATAGCGAGCCTTCATCTGTGTGAAGTCCCAAGTCAGAGAGAGACTATTCCTCTGAAGGGCAGGGATTGGACTTACCATGCAGAGGGCAAATTCTGGTGTGGGGGCCTGGCCTTGCCATTCCATGGATGCTACCTTGTTCTTCTGCTTCAAGGGTCCTCAAACTTTTTAAATAGGGGGACAGTTCACTGTCCCTCAAACCACTGGAGGGCTGGACTGTGGGCCCTGGGACAAGTCGGCTGCTAAGCAGGACAGGCAGTAGCGGCAAAAACACCCAGCGGGCCGGATAAATGTCCCCGGTGGGCCACATGTAGCCCGTGGGCCATAGTTTGAGGACACCTGGTTAGAGGTTCTGTGTTGATCAGAGGTCCTCTGGCTGCCAGGGAAGAAATCTGACTTCACTTAAGCAAAGGGCTGGCTTCCTCGGTGCATGAGGCTGAAGGGGAGCATGGACGGCCCAGGCCAGCACGCACCTCATCAGGAACAGCCTCCCCACACCCCTCTGTTGCTCCCTGAATTAGCTCATCCTCAGGCTGGCGCAATCTCACTTGGTCCAGATGGCCACAGGCAGCTTCACCTCCATTCTCCTGGCCACCCCCAGGGGAAGCAGGGCTCTCACACCCAGCTGACTCTCACTACGCTGGGTTCTGTCCCATCACCACACTGGTCAGGCAGCCCTGAAAGCCCCGGCCCTGACCACATGCTTGTCCTTGGGGAGGAGTTTGGGGCAGGGCTGGGGAGGGGGCCTGGCTCCCTTGTTTACACCACATGGAATGAAAGCAGATGTGGTTTCCTCTCTGTTACTGGCAGGACGCTGGGCAGCTGAGCCAGCAGTGTCCAAGCAGGGCTCTCAGCCAGACCCCACCCCAGGGCTGCGCCCAGGTGCGGCTCTGCCTGCTTCTTGTCTCCAGCCCTGCACTTGGCTTTGGGGGCCTTGCCTGGGCAGACCTCACGCCACCCTGAGTACCGTTCTCTAGGGCTGTGTGGGTCCCTGAACGCCTGCACCCGCCTCGACCTGTCCTGCATCCAGTCTGCCGTTTCGTGTTCAGGTCTTTGCTGACCTGTGGATCAGTTTCCCTGTTTGCTAATTGTTCACCTGCTCCTTCCCTCACCTTTTCACCGAGTGGTGCAACCACATCACCACCTTGGGGAGTGGGGATGTTTAGACAAATTCAGCTCCTATGGCTCCAAATCCAGGGAATTCCGTTCTGCTTGTCAGGTCCTGAGTGAACTAATTCACTTAAAAAGTGTTTTATTGAAGGATAATTGCCACACAGTAAACCTCACTTAATTAGCACGGACGACTTGAGAAGCCATGACAGGGTATATTCTTGGTACACCAACATCCTGTGAAGATAACCAACGCCCCCGTGACCCCCAGCTTTTCCATATGCCCTTTGCCTTTTGACATCTTTGTCTCCTGCTCTCCCCCGGCCACAGGTGACCACTGATCTGCTTTTGGTCACTATAGATGACTTTGAATTTTCTGAAGTTTTTAATGAATAGAACCATACAGTACACGCTCTATCTCTGCTTCTTTCACTTTTCAGGACTATCCTGAGACCCACCTGCATCATTGTGTATGTCAGCGGTTTGTGGAGTGGTGTCCCGTGGGGCGGATGGCCCAGCCTGTTTGCCGTTCACCATGGATGGGGCTTGGAATTGCTAAGAATATTCAATACGAGGCAGGATTGAGAAGGGACAGGCTGGAATCCCAATAGCTCTAGGATCTGTGGTTGCAGGTTCCAAATCGCAGCGTGTGTGGTAGGCTGAGGGCCGGACTTGGGAAGTGAGAGAATGTGCTTGTCCGTGGACAAGCCTGTCTCCATACTGTGCAGGAAACAGGTTCTGCATTAAAAGGTTTGGAGAACACGCCTCTTTGCAGAACCTCTGATGAACTAATTAGAACTTCTAAACTCTTGGACCCTTTTGTCTAAGTAATGCCTGTGACTCCATCATGCCAGGCAGCTTGATGCAGGGAGCAGTGGGGCAGTGGTGCAGTGAGCAGGCTAGGAAGAGAGGCGTCTGCTCTCGGACACCCCTGCATCCTGACACTCTGCCTACGTGGTCTCGTGTCTTCACGAGTACCTCACAGTGTTCTGAATTATGGAGTATTGTGAGCACACAGAAAGGTGATGAGAACAAGAGCACCACCCCTGCTGTGAACAGCACACAGCTTTGTCAGCAGTCGGCCCCTCTGTGCTTCTCAGAGTCCTTTGTGCGTCTGCGCTTTCCATTTGAAGAAGTAAAACATCACAGATGTAAAGTTCCCTTCCTACCACGCCTCCGGCCTCCTGAGTGGAAACCACTGTCCAGAATTGGGTGTTTCACATATATCTCCATTCTTTTACTGCATACGTTTTTGTATCTCTAAATAACATATGATATTGTTTTGCATGGTTTAAAATTTTGTAAATGGCAATATTCTAGATGTAGAATTCGGCAATTTCCTTTTTTTGTTGCTGTTTTTTAGATTTCACTGCAGTTTGTTCACTGGGCTCCTGCGTGGTGTCCACTGCACAGACAGACCACAGTCTGTGCTCTTGTTGGCGGGTGTTTATGTCACCTCTCATTTTTCTTTTCTTATATGCAAAGCTGCAATGACAATTTTTGTGCATTTCTCCTTGTCGTGTGTGTTAGGAGTGGAATTTCTGGCATGGGGTCCGGGTATCAGTTTCCTTAGATATTGCCAAAAGGGTGGCAATAATTTGTACTCTTATCTGCACTGTAAGAGGGTTTCAATTTTTCTGTATTATCACCAACACTTGGTATTTCCACACCTTAAAAAATTTTATTATCATTATTATTTGGTATTTCCAAAGTTTTTTTTTTGGCAGGGGGCTGGCTTTGAACCCGCCACCTCCGGTATATGGGGCTGGCACCCCTTTGAGCCACGGGCACCACCCTGGTATTTCCAAAGTTTTAAATGGCAGGAAAATGCTTGGTCTACACAGTAAGTACTCAACTAACGTGCGTTGAAGGAAGAGAAGTGTTTCAGTCGGCATCTCCTCGGCCAGCCTGTGTTCCTCTTCTGTGAATTGCTCAACCACTCTTTGGTGGGTTGTTTCTTTCTGATTTTTAGCGGTTCTTTACATATTCTAAATAATCATCTTTTGTCAGTTATGTGCATAGCAAATACCTTTCCAAGTCTGAAGCTTGTTTTTTTTCCTCATTTTGATTATTGTGTCTTTTGTCTTACAGACATTTTAAATATTAATGTACTCAAAGTTCTCAATCTTTTTCCTTTATCATTTATGATTTTGTGTCTTATTCAATAAATCTTTCCCCTTCTGAGGTCATAAAGATATTTCAGTTTTTTCAATAAACCTTATTGTTTTTCTTTACCATTTACTTCTGTAATGTACCTAGGAGTTTTGATAGTGTATCACTTGAATTAAGGGTTTTATTTTATTTTTTTCTGCAGGGATAACCATTTTAGTTTTCTAGCACATTTTCTGATTGATCTTAAGTGCAAACTCTTTCCTTTTCTGTGAATCAGTGTCTGGGCTCTCTGTACTATCCCTTTTTTCATTTTTCTTACATAAAACTTCCTTGTTTTAGTCACTAGAC